ATTAAAATTGGTGGAAAGACTCATTCTGGCCTCTGAAAGCTGTAAAAAGCCGATATAAACTCGAGGTGAATAGTGAGACTTCTAGGAAAGCGAGTAATAACTTTGAGCTACTACGAACAGTTTCAGAAGGATTTGTTTTTTTTTTTTTTTTTTTTTTTTTTTTTCATGTGGAACAGTTTTCTGACCCTCCACCTAAAAAGTGACCCAAAGTGCCCCATTTAACAATCATATATGATTGAAAATACTGGATTTGTAAATGAAGAGTTCATTAGCAAAAACTTTTAAATAAATAGTTTTTTCTTTTCTTTTTTTTGTTGCCATTTGCTCCAGATTCTCTGAATGAAAACAACGTGACCTGGGTGCTCCGTGTGTCATTCGTTCTTTTTCATTTCACTTAAGAACAAAAAACAATAAAATGGGAAAACAGTTTATTTAATTTTTCCATTTTAGTGTCAAACAAAAAAACAGATTTCGACCTCTACTTTCAATATTTAATTTAAAGTTTATTTCAAATAACAAAAATCAAAAAACCTCAAACCTGTCCATCCTCAGAGCCGCCTGGACTCTCTGTACTCAAGACACTTACAGAGGACGTCCCAGAGGATTTTAAAAGACGTGCAACATCCACTAAACTCAGAGTTTCAGCTGCTTCCCTTTGGTCAGAGGCTTTTACTTCTAAGATTTAGAACAAATCGTTTTAAAAGGAGCTTTGTTCCGGCTGCTGTCGTACTTATGAATAAATTGTAATCTATTTATCTAAAGATTGTGTGTTTTTAACATATTAATATTTATTGTGATTTTAGCCAAGCGTGATGGATGAATTTAACAAATTGTTTATGGACAAACTATTCTGCACTGGAGCTTTGTAACTTTTTAGTTTGTAATTGTGTTTTTATTTGTGTTTATTGCACATAATGTGGATGAATGAAATGTGAAATGCGGGACCTGCCTCTCAAATCTGCAAAACAAATTTACCTACGGGTACGAATAAAGCAACTGAACCTAACCTAACCTAAAACAGTCTCGGTGACTATTTAAATTTTTACATTTTATTCTTTCTGGTTTATTTGCCTCAGAAGTTCTGCTGCTGAAGGACTTACCTGAAAAATCGTTACAGTTTATGAAAACATGTCGTCTTCTTTTATAGCGACGCGTTTACTTTCTTAGAAAGTCACTGTTGAACTCCATGACGAGAAACAGAAAGCAGAGATAAACTTTGTTCAGGTGACACCACAGAACTGTAATAAAAATTGTATTTATTATAGATCCAGGGTTGAGCAGCAGAACTTCCAGAGCAAATAAACCAGAGAGAATGAAATATCAAAATTAAAATAGTCACAGAGACTTTAAACTTTAAACTAAATATTGGAAATAGAGGTCAAAATCTGTTTTTTGTTTTGTTTGACACTAAAATGGAATAATTTTTACTGTACTTAATAATTTTACTGTTTTCGTTCTTAATTGAAACTGTAAAAATAGAGACAAATGGTACACAGACCCTGGTTTCATCAGGGAGAAAGAGAATCTCATTTTCATTACACAAAAATAGATGTCACTTTTAAAACACTGAGAAACAACTGAGTCATTCCATCTCAATTCACCCAAAATAAATTTGCAATTCGAACGTTCACATTGTCCAATTGCAAAGAAAATTGGTGTTTGGGTAAGTCACAGCCAAGAAAGACAAAATCCCAAATTTTAGTTTGATCAGAGTAAAGGTTTCTGAGATATCGCAATTTCATTTTTATAATTTTTTTGTGTCGTTGTCGAAATTCAAATTGCATTTACTCAGAAACTACTGGTCCAATATCAAAAACCAAGATATTTCTGGAAAGAGGAAATCATAAGCAATCCAAATCTGGCATTTATTTTTGCATTTTATTTTTACTTTTGAGATGAATAGACAATAAGTGACACACCCGACCTCAATGACACCAACAGAAAAATTGTAGCCCTATACGTCTACTACAGCATATAAAAAATCTGGAGGGGGTTCTTTTTTATTTTGACACAAATTTACTTAGAAGTTGGCTGCCACATTTGGATTCCTTATGATTTCCTCTTTCCAGAAATACCTTGGTTTTTCATATCGGACCAGTAGTTGCTGAGTAAGTGCAATTTGAAATTCGGCGACCACGCAAAAAAGTGAAAAAATGAAGCTTTTCTGGCTAAGTTTCATAAAAATTGACAAAGTAGGGTTTAACTCACTGGGTGATCTAAGGCGAACTGACCCAAAGAGCAGATTCAGGCCTTTGGAGAGTAAAGAAATGATCTGTTTTTGCAAATAAACTCCTCAGATGCAAATAGCGCCGTCGTACTTCCACCTGACGTTGTGTATTTTCAGTGAGATTTTGGATAAAAGCCGTAAACATTGGCTGCGTTTGTCACAGTCCCACACGAAACACACACACCACACATCCAAGAGACACAGGGACATGTGGACACAGAGACACAGAGACACACTGAGAGAGACAGAGAGGGGCGAGGAGGATGGACTGGGACGTGGAGACGCAGGGACGGACAGGAGACTTTTGGTTCCCCCTCTGCTCTGTATCGTCCTACAGCGGTGCATACTGTATCATGCAAACCATGCAAAGAAAAGGGTGACACTGGATCCATATAAAAACAAGTGTTATAAAATGGCATAGCAGGTTTGAGTCTCTGGGTCCTGAATGTGACCTCTGCAGTGTCTACACTAAATAGCATGCGTCCCATGCAGTGCGGAGGCTTCGCAGCAGTAAAGCTTTGGGTGATATACTCATGGAGAAGCACTGGTCTCCACATGGTCACAGTCAAACTCACACCGGACGGGCAGGCTGCTGTTGGGTGAGTATTGTAGGTCAGATAAATGTTTAAAGAGCATATGACAGATTTTCATGTTTATAATTCTGATTTAGTTTGGTGGAATAGTGCCTGCAGTCAGTTTTTATCATAGGCCTCATCCACACAAGTGCATATTCGAGTTGTTTTCATTGTGGATGCAGTGTTTGTTCACACTAATCTGATGGAAAATGGCTCCAGAGACGGAACAATCTGATACCGACAGCTCCCATGAATTCATCTACAGCTACGTCCACACGACAACGCTCCTGGATTTTTTCTTTTACGGGCTGAAAAAAATTTGCGTCCACACACGTGTCGGATCAATAAATATTCACGTCCACACGACAACGGAGTAAAAATGATGTAATACACCTGTATGTGGAGCTGCTAACGGCGATAATAATATTAAATAATACAGATCTCATCATCGTTTTTTTAACTTTAAGGTAATTTAGCCGATTTCTCCACTCTGGAACCCGTTCGCAAAAAACATTTTTTGCCACCACCCAAAATGCCGGCTCCGTGTGGACAAAAGACCAAAACAAATACAAACTCCACCGTTTTGACCAAAAAACTTTGTCATGTGGACAGGCCCTAAGTGCGACTCTGAACCAGCACCGTGTGGACACCTGAAAACGCTGATACTCTGATGAAGGTCTATGCAAAGCGAAGTAATTCACCACCAAAACACTAAGATATATGTCCATTCATATATACGGTCTATGACCGTATACATATAATCTCATGTCGCCAACGCAACAGAAACACAGAACAGACTCACCATCAGCAGAACACCCCTCTGTCACAGAAAGAACACTCATATTCCACTGAGTTGTGTCCTTTAGTCCGACAGAAGCTGAACCGCATCAGCGACACAAGGAGCGAGCTGTTTTTTTGAGCATTCAGTTTATGCAAATGAGTCATGCACTTTTAAATTTAGTTTTTGTAAAACGTAAACAAATACGCTCAAAGCTGTGTGGATAAGGAAGGCTCGCGGACACAGAAACAACGCGTGTAGACGCAAAGCTTTTTAGTGTAAACGTAGTCATAGTTTTCCATCAGTTAAAAAAAGGTTGAGAAGAAAAGTACAAAAACTTGTGGTGAATTCTAAAACCAAATTCCTCTGCCTACGTCATCTACATGGGAAACTCCGTCCAAAACGCAGAGATAATTTATGCACAAGGACACTTTAAACCTCCATTTAACTGAACAGAAGTGTTGACGCTTATTTGTATTAGTCTAATCATAACTATTGTGTAATTTAGACAAGTTTTCAGCCTTGTCTACATTATAATCCCGAGGTAACAGTTATGGAATTACCTTTATGTTGTATCTGCTGTCTGTTTTTGACAAGGATAAAATGATGTTAACTGTGTTTTAGTGAAAAAGTGCTTTACTCTGTCATATGCTCTTTAAACTTCACTAAGACTGTACGAGTTTGGAACACACTGCAGTGTTTAGGCTCTACCCCCTTGACAAAGCCTGCTACATTTGTTCAAGAAGCAAATTCAAGTGCCCTCTGGAACTTTCCTGGTGGGAAGTTTGTCACCTGCTTGTCTCCATAGAAATGCCATTGCTTTGCCTGGAATGTTCCACAGTATGGCATTAAATCTTTCCATCTCACCATTATTCAGTTTCAAATCAAGTCAGATCAGAGCTGATCTGCGAGTGTGGAATATTCCAGGTGACATCTCCATGGAGACAGCCTTCAGCAAAACAGACTCTTTCATGTTGAAAAGTGGTGTTTAAACAGTAATGACTGAAAAAGAAGCTGATCATGTTTGAAAGCTGCTGTCAATGCACTCGTAAATATATTGGGCAGAGACATGTATTGCTACTTATTTGGGTTTATTTCGTGGGGCTTGCGTTGCCTGTTTTGGTCACTCTGTGGTGATTGGCGCTCCTGACCTCCGCCCGTGTCTGTGGTCGGTGCAGTTGAGTTTGACTTGTGCCATGTGGAAAGTGCTCGTTGTGTCCTGGCCAATGCGCTGTACAAAGTTGGACTTTATAAAAGAGATTCTGTTCAGGCTGGACTCCGCAGCTCGGCTCTGGGGCAGTAAGGCGCCTCTGCCCCAGCCGGCTCCAGCAGCTGCGCCGCTCACCGTCTGGCTTTGGGACCCACACAGACACGTGTGGGTTTAGAGGCAGGGTGTTCCGCAGTGTGGCTTTAAGGTGTTTCAGGGCGGTGTGCTCCAGACGGCCTCACCGAAGCCCTCTCCAGTGGATGACATCGGTAAAGGCCCTCCACTCGGGGTGAAAGGATCCGTGTCTGTGTCTGTTTCGCCTTCAGCCAGATAACTGGGTCTAGGTCTGGTCCAGTTCAGGCCCGGCTCGGCGCCCAGCTCGCCGGCCCGGTCCTCCTCACAGTCCCGCTCAGCTGAGATGCTAAAGCCGCTGGGCGATCGCTCCAGCTCGTCGTGGTTGACTGAAAGCAAAGACAGAGGAGACTCGTTCCTCCGTGCGTCCCCTGAGGTCCTGCCTGACAGCACAGACACGTCCTGCAGAGAGCTGATGGGCAGCACTGTGGGCCTCTCGGTGTAGGTGGGGATGGGACCCAGCAGCTGCCGCGGGGCCGTCTGCTCGCGGCTGATTTTACGATCTTTGCTGAAGTTCTGGCTGGCCTTGCCCAGTGCTTCCTGATAGGCAATGTGGGGGTAAGACTCAGAGTAGTTAAAAAAGAGACGTCGGATGTCCCCGCCCCCCTCCAGGGTCATGTGGGCGGTCCCAGCGGAGTCCACCTGCAGCTGCTCCGAGTGCTGAATGTGCATGTCCACCAGGAAGTCCAGCTTCTTCTCCATGTCCTCCACCTGGAACAGCAGACAACAGAACAAGATCAGTGTACAGAGACAGATTAAAGACTCTTGGGTTCATCTGTTTCTCTTTGCTTTTCTTTCTAATGAACTTCAGCACGTTTTGTCACCCACGGGACTCACCTGTCTTTCTACTCGGACAAATCTACCCATCATGCTTTGGTCTTCAGAATCTGGCAACGAGGCCGTCTTGGAAAGGTACGTCTCATGCCTGAAACACAAACTCTATTGGCTGCGTACACTGGACATTACATGGAAAAGTGGGCAGCTCCGTGGATAAATATTACCAGAGACTGACTGCTTGGACAGTTTATTGGACAGTTTCAAAGGGACTGGGGACTCACAGACATTACCTGCGGGACTCGTGGGCAGGGTATGTGGACATCACTTGGAGACCAGTTGAATGAGTACTTGGACATTACCTGGGAACTGGCTGGATGACTGAACATCACCTGTCACACTGGTTGGTGACTGGACATTACCTGGGGGTTACCTGGGGGACTGGTTGGGGGGGCGTTACCTGGGGGACTGGTTGGCTGGGTAAGTGAAAGGTGGCTTCTGTGGTTTCTTGCTCTTGGGTGTGGAGGGGGGTCCAGGAGCCAGAATCATGTCAATCCTGTAAAATAATTGCACAGTTCTTTGTAAATATTTGTCTTTTTATCTCTCATTTTATTTGACAAAATGATGTAATGTTACTCTAAAGATGAATAATAGATTCAGACACATGTACTTCTGACTAGACCTGACCTGGTCTGGAGGTACTTGATCCTGCACAGCATGTCCAGGTGTCCAGCCGAGTACTGCTCAATCACGTCTTTGACGTCATAAGGCCTCAGAGTTTCCTTAAAGCGCTTCTTATTCAGAAGGAACTGCATGATTCTGAAATACACAACAAACAAACTCATCCAAAAGTGCAGTTTTGTGCATTTAAAGATACAAAGGAGCTGTGTGCACCCACCACAGGTCCATGTTGAAATCTAATATTTGTTTTGTGTATTTGTTCATTTACTGCGTCATACATTTATTTGTTTACCCAACATAAAATAACTGTAAAATATGAGCATTAGTGATGCGTGTGAGATTTTAGGCTGTGATCTCTGGAGCCTGTGTGGGCCCCTGGACCCGCTGGTGAAACGTACACTGTGTAGGTCCGGCCCACCTGTTGAAAAGTATTGACTCAGCAGATAATGGACAGGCCTAATCACAGCTCCCACCGGACTCAGGCTGCGGGATGAGCACACGGTGCACACTGTGCCTTCAAACACACACACACAAACATGCTCGCACACACACACAACACACACACAACACACACACACACACACACACACACACACATGCAGAGACACACACAAACACACATACACACAAACATGCTCGCACACACACACACACACACACACACACACACACACAAACACATGCAGAGACACACACAAACACACACATACACACACTGCTGATATCTATCTCCCTGTAAAGCCTCTTGTAAATTGGACACACATGTGAGTGTCGTGATGTATTTCGTTCATTAGAATAATGTGCCACGCTGACATGAACAAGAAATCAAAGTTATGTAACATGCACTTCACACTGTGATGTCAGCACAGCCAGTCTAATCAACTATGTCTCCTGTGGTTATAATGTAAAATTGGCCTGTCTTACATAAATGTGTGAAATCTCTCAGTCGTTCATGTGAGGACTATGGTCAAAGAAAATGTGACTCTCTTACTGAACAAAAAGTCTTTGAGAGTGAATACATTTCACCACTCATCCAAGTAGCTCCTGCACTTCAGACAGAGTTCTGTAAATCATTGACTTAAATATCTGAAGTGTGGAAAAACTGTCACCTGGGTCATGTCTTATATACTGTAGAAGTGGGACTAATCATCTCACTTTTAAACCATCAATGATTTTGGGTAAATCTACTGGGACTTGGGATTCAGGGCTCAAACCTGGACATATGGTCCAGCTTACACAGAAGTATCCATCATGTTGTGAGGATGACAGGACACACTGCAGAGTGCACTGACCTGACCGCTCTGATGACCAGCTTCAGTGCTGGGATGGTCTCCTCCATCAGGATGTCCGGGGGGAAGCCCCTCTCCTCCAGATCTGCCAGAGCTCCTGCGTCTGGAAGCCCACAGAGGTCAGAACGTGTCACTAAACACAGACTGTGTTTAAGAACATAAGGAGAGTCCTGCGTTACCTTCAGAGCTCTGGCGCAGCGTGTAGGCTTTCATACGGAAGGCTGTGCGGAAGCGCTCCCTGTTACTGAAGCCTCGGGGCTCCTTGGACGGACTGTCCACTGTGTCCTCTGTCCCCGTCCTCCTCCCTGTCCCCACGGGCCGAGTGTTGGGCAGACGCACACGCTCCAGCAGACTCAGCTTCTGACTACAGACAAACACAACAGCAGGTTCAGGAGAACATCAAAGTGTATGAGGTGTTTCTGTGAGGACAATGGGCTCATGTGTCTTTATTATAGAAGACAGATCCTCAAACCTCCTGGTTCACAGGTGTATTACTCTTCTTACTGAGATACTCCTACACAGTGAAGTGTGTGGTAGACTCTGTTCAGATCTGTATGAGCGTGTGTGTCTGTCACACTGTGTGTCTGTCACACTGTGTGTCTGTCACACTGTGTGTCTGTCACACTGTGTGTCTGTCACACTGTGTGCGTCTGTCACACTGTGCGTCTGTCACACTGTGTGTCTGTCCCAGAGTCCTGCTCTCTGGCCTAACTCTCAACCTGCCCCACACGTCTGACCACTGCACAATATAATACACAGCTAAGTATAAAAGTGATTTTATTTTGTTCTACTGCACATGTTAAAATATCAGAGTCTTTGACATTTTGAAAGACTGGTGGGTTGTACACAGAGGGTTGTACACAGAGGGTTGTACACAGAGGGTTGTACACAGAGGGTTGTACACAGAGGGTTGCGCTCAGATGGGGCTGGTTATGTTCATGTGGGGCCAGTTGCGTCTAGGCGGAGCCGGTTGTCCTGCTGCAGTCACACACAGTAGAATAAGAGCCTGTTGGTCTTGGAGGGAGTAACCGGAGCCTCTGAGACAGGACGCGTTCTCAGCCACTTTTCTCCCACACAGACACAACCTGAGCCTGTGTGTGAGCCGGTCTCCTGAAAGGCCCCGCTGCCCCACAGTGCACGGCTCATTATCCCAGTGCCGCTGTGAGGGACGACACAATACTCCAAATATGAAGCACCTATCTCCATCTCAGTTATGTAACGTACTTTCAGATACACGTCTACAGGAGCGGCATTCAAGTGTCCAACAAATGATGCAATCTGCAGCCGGACCACATTATGTAATAACTACAAATTTGTCCAATAAATCATAGGTGAATAAAGTCTTCAACTGCCTCGTAAATGTTTATTGTATGACTCTGAACTTGGTGCATGTCGCGCAAGAGTGAAGATGATAAACACGTAGAGAGAAAAGTGTTTTTAAAAGTGATTAAAGTAGGGCTGGGCAAAAATTTAAAATATTAATCACATTAATCGTGTAAAAGTAGCGTATAGCGCATTTTTATTGGAAATGTAAACAAAAGTGCCACATCTGTTGTGCTTTGTTGTTCTTTATACAGTCGCAGGGCTCTAGTCCTGTAAACTCCATGTTTATACTTCGTCCTTTGGAGAATCTTACTGAAAAAAATAACCAATTTCAGTGCAGTTTTTCAAATCCTACAGTTTGACTTGAATGAACTGAATTGAAAAGTAAAGTGCATGTGACCAGCAGCAGTAAAATGAAGTATTCAGTGTTTATCTCAACTGAAAAAATCAACTACAAAAAAATACAAAACTGAAATGTGTCGTCACTGTCAGGGCTTTAATGTTTCCTGTTTGATATAAAACTGAGAAACTCAGTCAAAAACAATCACCAGAAAACAGAACACACAACCAGAAAACACTGTCAGTGCAGTTTGTCTTTTTTTTTTTTTTTTTTACTTTTCTGCACAAAGCCAGTTGTTAAGGCATACAAGAATATATATTATTGTTATTAAGAATGTGATGGCTGCCACAGGGGGAGGAGGGTTGTGACGAAGAGCGACGGACCACGTGGTGGTGCCCCCGAAAGCACTTGATGGCCGCTGTACGTAATGTGCGTGTGCGGAGCGACGGCTCTGACACGTTGCATTTCACGTGGTCGGCCGAAACTTCGCTCCACTTGTTTCACTGAATGATTTGTCGGCATCAACAGAGTGTGTTGCGTTTAGGTGATATTTCAGACTCGTGAACCTCTGGTGATAAGACAGTTCAGCGTTGCATTAGTTACAAATGATTTTGGCTCTGTCGACTGCGCCGTCTGGAAGAACTTTAAAATGAAAATGACTGTGTAAAAGTTTCTTACCCTTCTCCATGTTTGTTTATCCCATTTTCTTTCTCTCTGTTTCCTGTGAGCACCGCAGCTGTAAGCAACATTCTAGGCTCGCTCACGATGGACTTTTTCAAAATAAAAGCCAGTGACCAACACATGTTTAATAAAAAAATAAATAATAAAAACTGCATTAAGGGGAGAAAAATAATTGTTGGTGATAATTCATTAATTAGTTAACGCAAAATTAACGCGTTAATGTGCCCGGCCCTAGTTTAAATATAGACTGACTTCAGTGAGAGACGCAGAAGAGCACGAGACACTGAGTAAACATGAGAGTGGTGCTGTGTGCAGATCTGTATCTTCGCGTGGTTGTTCTTATAGGCGAGTTTCAGCTGACGTCATTGTTATTAAAAGCCCGCGTTGCTGCTGGGAAATATTTTGGTCGGAGGCAAGAAAAAACGGTAGCGTCAAACACAGTGCGTAACCTCGCGTATTTTATCCCGATAATGGTAAATTCCTGCTGCATTATCGGATGCACAAATAGAAGCACGGAAGAAGGAAAATGTCTTTTTCGTATTCTGAGTGAAAAGAACCGCTAAAGGTGAATTAAACGACTTTCAAACATTCGCAGAGCAAACGTAGAAGATCCTAACAAACCGTGGACTCCAACAAGTTCAACAACACATCGAGACTCTTGGAGGTTTTCATCTTTTCTGCTGTGAATGGCCCAGGAGTTTCCACCAAGTCATTGTGGATATCACCCAAGTGAATATTTGTCCAGGTAGTTGGCGATTCTGACCAGAAATTTGGTTTGGTCCAACTTTTGTCGGGGTTGAAAAGGGTGATTTGTCGTCCGTCGATGCTTATGACCAATTTCTGGTCAAATGGTCTTGGGTCCTCTGCCGTTAGAGTGGATAAATAACCAGGATCAATATCCTTTACGTGCTTTCTCGCTCCGTCCGTCATGTTGAATTAGTGTTTCTTGCCGCCGACCAAAATAATTCCCAGCATGCAACGCGCGCTTTTGTCAACAATGAAACTCGCCTATACTTTTATTTCTTAGATTTTCAAAGTATTGCGTTGTTTTTTTGTCCGTATTCTGCGCTCTCAGTTTTATAAAAGGTATCACAATCACAACTGGACCAGATAGAGACACGTCCACGTTTGTCTCGTTCTCAGTTTCTGTTGAGGCGTCGTGTGAAGCTCAGAACCTCCAGATTTCCCTCCCTGAGCTGCAGAGGCCGCACTAGCTCTGGCTCATGACTCGGTGCGGGTGCTGGGGTTTAGGAAGTGTCCGTTCAGATAAAGTGAACCTTTAAGTTAAACAGTGATGACATTCGTGACGTCGGAGTCTCACAGCGCTCGTCTTTATCCTGGACTCTGAGCGCCGCAGTTTCCCCGACACAGGAGAATGTTAATCCTCCATTTTGACTTGAAGCGTCTCTGACCACAGAACATCAAAGACGAGCGACGCGGAGCCGCTGCTCCACATCACAGACGCTCCTGTTTCTGCTCACTGGACTCGAGCAGAGAAACAAGATCCACACGACACGGTCAGGAGGCGTCACAGTCAGGTCGTTCAGGTCAAAGACAGCTCACAGCTCAGCTCAGGTCAGCTCAGGTCATCAGGAGCTCACAGCTCAGGTCAGCTCAGTCAGAGCTCAGGTCACAGGTCACAGGTCAGAGCTCACACAGCTCTCAGGTCAGAGCTCAGGTCAGCTCAGGCTCAGCTCAGTCAGAGCTCAGGTCAGCTCAGGTCAGAGCCTCAGGACACAGCTCAGGTCAGAACTCAGGTCAGAGCTCAGTTCACAAGCTCAGGTTCAGAGCTCAGGTCAGACACAGCTCAGGTCAGAGCTCAGGTTCAGTCAGAATCAGGACACAGCTCAGGTCAGAGCTCAGGTCAGAGCTCAGGTCAGAGCTCAGGACACAGCTCAGGTCAGAGCTCAGGTCAGAGCTCAGGTCAGAGCTCAGGACACAGCTCAGGTCAGAGCTCAGGACACAGCCCAGGTCAGGACACAGCTCAGGTCAGATCAGGACACAGCTCAGGTCAGAGATCAGGACACAACTCAGGTCAGGACACAGCTTAGGACACAGCTCAGGTCAGAGATCAGGACAGATCTTAGGAAAGAGCTGGGATCTGAGCTCAGGTCAAAGCTCAGGTCAGAGATCAGGACACAGCTCAGGTCAGAGATCAGATTAGAGCTCAGGTCAGAGGTCAGATTAGAGCTAAGGTTAGAGCTCAGGTCAGAGATCAGGACATAGCTCAGGTCAGAGCTCAGGTCAGAGCTCAGTTCAAAGCTCAGGTCAGAGCTCAGGTCAGAACTCAGGTCAGAGCTCAGGTCAGAGCTCAGGTCAAAGCTCAGGTCAGAGCTCAGGTCAGAGCTCAGGTCAGAGCTCAGGTCAGAGGTCAGGACACAGCTCAGGTCAGAGGTCAGGACACAGCTCAGGTCAGTCAGGTCAGGTCAGAGGTCAGGACACAGCTCAGGTCGAGGTCAGGTCAGAGCTCAGGTCAGAGGTCAGGACACAGCTCAGGTCAGAGGTCAGGTCAGAGCTCAGGTCAGAGGTCAGGTGGGACATGGGGCGGTGAGACTTTGGGCACTAAGTCTGTCACAAAGTGCAGATGACACTTTATTACCCAGTCCAGTAATTGTCAAAATGATGTTAAAATGATGTTAAAATTCGATCTGTTTTCATGAAAACCATATCTATTTTATTAATAATTATTATTTATGAAGCGCCTTGAAGTGCTCGTCGTCAATTGAAGCTTCTTTCATTATTACAAAGTTAAATCAATGTAAAGTGCAATACAGTGAATTACAGCAGAGGTACGAGAGACATTTAGTGCAAATAAATCAGAATCATCTGAGTGAGTCTGAGTCTGGAGCGAGTCCAGAGCTGCTGCTGCTCTCGTCTCAGAGGCACACACTTCCACAGAGCTGAAGTGTAAATTATAAAGTCAGAATCCCCAAGAATGTTTGACAAGTTTGACCGTTTTGGTGGAACAGAGGCGAAATATTTGACAAATAAAAATAAACCGGAGCAGATTTTTTGGTGAG